TAGACACCTGAGATGTCCACAAACAGCAAAGTGAGAATTTTTTTGGAGGGGGAGGAACATCCATTAGACCCCAAGTAAATGCTACAGTAAACATGTACAGCATCCCCCTGTGGTTTAAGGACTACCTTTATGCAGCTTGATAGAAATGTATTCTCGGGACTCACCTTAGGCCTTCCAAGTCTGAATCTTAAATGATTCATTTCAAATGATTCATTCCAAATGATTCATTTCTTAGTCAGTGTTCTGTCACTACAACAAATACCTACAATAATCAACTTAATAGAAGAATAGGTTTGTTTTTGATGTATAGTTTGGAGATTGTAGCCACCATCCATTGGTATTGTTGCTTTGAGGTCTGTTGCAAGATGGCACATTATAGTAGGGATTTATGTGGTGGGCCAAAGCTGCTCACCTCATAACTGATACATGACAAAAAAGGAATGGGCAGAGAGGCTCAACCATCTCCTTTAAGAACATGACCCCTTGGTGATGTGAAACCTCCCACTAAGTCCCACATTATGGAATGTTCAACCCCTCCCTTCCCAATGGCACCAAGCTAGGGGCCACACCATTGATTCATGAGTCTTTCAAGGCCATATAAGATCCAGACCATGGTGATTCATATACATGTCCTAATTGAGAAGGTCTTATTAATAACTTTGTCAGACATGTTTATGGAATTATAGGGAATCACAGAATTGTTCGTCTGTGTTAATAAGGGTTTCTGTTGCTGTGAAGAGACACCATGACCACAGCAACTCTTATAAAGGAAAACTTGTAACTGGGGCTGGCTCACAGGTTCAGATGTTTAGTCCACTATCATCCTGGTAAAGCATGGTGGTGCACAGGCAGACATGGTACTGGAGAAATAGCCGAGGGTTCTACATCCTTATCAGCAGGTATCAGAGAGAGTGTGAGCCATTGGGCTTGGCTTGAGCTTCTGAGACCTCAAAGTCCACCCCCAGTGACAATGTTCCTTTCATAACGTTGAGCCTTTTCCAACAAGGCCACATTTCCTAATCCTTTCAAATAATGCTACTCCCTATGAGTCCATGGGGGCCATTTTCATCCAAATCACCACAGTCTCAATCATGAACTATTGGCGATAGATGCTCTGTATGGTTCTAAGGACCCAGGCCTAATAAAAGACACAATTCCCACTCAGGACCATGCCCACTATTGCCTCTGGACTCATTCACCACAGCCACTCTACTAAGTTGCTGTGAATCCAGTGAGACATGCAGCCTCCTCCCCAGCCCATTCCACCTTATCTCAGTCACCTAGGGACTTCCCCAAACTGCCCTACCTGCAGCACCGCCTTAGGACTGGGCTAGTAGACTACCAACTAATATCAAAAGACAATCAGTGTTCTAATTCCAGATGCCAGGTCTCATCACAAACATACAAACAATATGATAAATCCTTCCCCTAAGCCACCAGTTCCTTAGTGATACTCCCCAAGAACAACAACTGAGACAAATTTCAAGACACAGAATTCAAAAGAACAATTATAAGCATACTCAATGAATTCAAAACATTCAAAGAGGACACAAAAATACACCTGACTCAACTTCAAAAGGACAAGAATGCAATGATTAAGTTCAAGAAAACACAAATGGCTGAATAAAAAGCAATAATTCAGAATGTGAAAATTGAATTCAATAAAGAGAGGAATATTTGTCAGATGTGGTGCTACACAACTTTAACTCCAGCATTCAGGAAGCAGAGGCAGGCTTATCTTTGTGAGTTCAATGACAACCTGGTCTATATAATGAGTTTCAGGCTTAATCTAGCTATGTGATAAGACGATGTCAGAGAAAGAATAGAATATTAAGGCTTGAAAATAAAGTAGAAGCACTGGATCACTCAATCAAAGAAAAGCAAACATTTTTTAAAACTCACAAATAGAATATACAGGGAGTTTGGGACATCATGAAAAACTCTATGAATTATTCACATAGAAGAAAAAGACAAAAGGAATATACAACTACTAAAATAGTTCTACAGAGGATACTGAAGGAAATATTTTGGGCTGAAAAGAAAGATTAGCACACAGAAGGCCATAGAGTAAAAATGAATAATACTAGGACAGTTAATCAAAAGAAATCTAAAAAAAAACACCACAAAAATCAGTGAAGGACAAGAATTAAAAAGCATGTTTCAATAGTAACCCTGAATGTTAACTCCAAGACAATTAGAGAGATTTCAATAACCTACTCTCCTCTCACCAAACCAGGTCATTCTGACACCAAACAATCAGAAAGACACTGGAAGTAAACAGCACTGTAAATCAAATAGACATAACAGACATATACAGAACATTCCACCCAAGCACTAATTAGCACACATATGAAGCTGGAGAGGCGGTGTTACAGAGAAGAATGCTTGCAATTATTGAAGAGAATCCAGGCAGCTCACAACCATCTGTAACTGTAGTTACCAGGGATCTGATGCTCTCTCCTTGCCTCTGTGGGCTTCTTCATCGGAGTGGTACCCGTACATATACTCAGACACACAAAATACAATAAATACTTACCGAGAAAGTACTGCATGTACCTCTCAGCATGTCTTAGAACTGTCTATAAAATAGAACATTTATTGGGACATAAAGCAAACCTCAAAAAAGTATAGGAACCCTGGAGTAACAATCCATGTTATATGTTATCACAACAGACTAAAGCTAGATCTTCACAACAAGAAAAGCCACAGGAGACGTGCAAAAATAGAGATTAAGCAGCACACTGTAGAGTATGGGATCACTTGTACAGTTTTGGTGGGAAAAACTACAATAACTTTGGAAATCAATCTGGGGGCAAAGGCCAGAAGCAAAACTATTGTATGACACAGTCATACTACCCCTGGGCATATTCCCAAGTGATTCTCTGCCCTACCACAGAGATGCCTGCTCTGCACTCTGTGTTCATTGCTGCTCTATTCACAATAGCTGGGGAAAGGAATTAGCTGAGATGTCTAGCAGAAGAACAGAAAATGAAAACATGGCCAGGCATGGTGGCACATGTCTTTAGTCCCAGCATTCGGGAGACAGAAGCAGATGGATCTCTGTGAGTGTGAGATCAGCCTAGTTTATATGTCAATGTCCAGGATAGCCAGGACTATATAGAGAGACCCTGTCTCAAAACAAAACCAAAAAGAACAAAACAAAATGAAAATGTGGTACATACACATAATAAAATTGTATTTAGTGATTAACAAAATGAAATACTTAAGTAAATGGGTGAAACTGGAAAAATTATACTGAGTGAAGCAATCCATATTTTCTCTCATATGTAGAGCTAAGTTTCAATTCTTTAGTTGTTTGTTTAACTCAGGGTACCTATGAAAACCAGGAGACATGGTGTGTGTGTGGCAGGGGGCAGGAAACCTTGACTATTGGAGAGTGGATAATAGAACATGGGTAAAAGGAAAATAGAGTGGGGGAGTATTGTGGATGTAAAGTTTGGGCATAAAGGAAGCTAGGCAAAATGGGGACAAGATTAATTGAAATGGAAAGGATATTGAAAAGCCATTCAGAAACCCAAATGAAAAATACAAAAGACAGATCAAAGTAGGTCATCCTGCCTGGCTAGACTGATGCTCCAAGAAGCAGTGGACTGCTAAGAGAAATGCTCAGTCACAGCTATGGAACACCCTGTGAGAGGTAGTCAGGGAGGCTCTAGAGTCCTCCAAAACAATACAGACTCTTGCCAGTCCTCTGGATTGCCCAGTAGAATTAGAATAAGATCTGTTGCTGAAGACATCACACATCTCAGTTACAAAGTATAAAGAAAACAAGATGGAGCTGAGCTGGAAATGTCCTCCATGCTGGCTAGCTTTCTAAGTATCAGATTATGCTAGGCTGTGAACACCATGAACCAGGAAACCAATCTCCTGGGCAAGATGTGCCTGACTGCAGTGGGAGCACACCCGTTGTAGGGATAACCAACTGTCCTTTGATTAGATTTGAGGCCTACTCCACAGGAAAGAAACAGTTAACATGCTACACCTAGGCCCACCTCACTACTATTGTCAAACTAAATCAACACAGCATCAAAATGCCTGCTAAACAATCTACATTTATGCCCATATACAAAAGCTATTCTCAGCTTTAATCAGAGAAGCTTTTCTTTTCAGTGAATAGCAATGAATGCAGACTTGGAAATAAAGATGCCTGGAACAAGTAATGCAATGAGTGCTCATCTCCAAACAAGACTTAAGGAATGGTTTGGAATAGGGGTGCAGGAATTATGTAAGATCCAAGAGAGAATAAAGGGTTGCAAAGTGTCATCTTCTAGACTTGACACAGCCATTGCAATCACAAACTCACAAATTATGGTTACCTGCATTGGGCCTGCACAAGGGGAGGGGCTCATGGAACTCTAGCTCCTAATGCTGAAGTGTTTGCTATCAATAGATTCTGAAAGAGAAGGAATCATTGCCTTCAGTTGTATAGCTACTTCTGAGCCCATCAAGCTCCAACAGACAGCTCCAAAACCATGCTTACACAGATGGCCCTTGTTAAGTTCAAAGAATCAAAACAAACAAAACACACACACACACACACACACACACACACACACACACACACACACACACACACACAAGACATTGATACGAGAAAGAGAAAATAAAGGGGATAATAGGAGGTAGTAACAAGATAAGAGTGGGTAAGTCATGACAGTGGCCAGTATGCATCATATACAATGTGAAATTGTCAAAGAACAAACCAAAGGGGAAACTAAGCAGGCTGTGGTGGCATATGCCTTTAATCTCAACACTTGCCTGATCTATCAAGTTCCAAGAAAGCCATTGCTACAAAGTGAGGCCCTGTATTGTGTGTGTGTGTGTGTGTGTGTGTGTGTGTGTATGTGTGTGTGTGTGTGTGTTGTGAATCTATAGTCTGCCATGCGCTATACTTCATACTACTAACAACCACTAAAGTGTACTCTCTAGTCTCTACTCTCTAGCTTTAATTACGATAATTATTGCCAGAAGATACTTGTACCCTCCAGTTCCCTTTCCCATCAGATCTTGATGCAGATCTTGGTGGCTGGAAAGGAGGAAGAACACACTGAAGCTGGCTTCATGGCGATGTAGTCTGGTATAGAGCATTGAGTCAGATTCATACATTCCTGGGCTCTTGATAAAATTGGATAATGAGAATTACAGATGCCTCTAGGCATTTGTAGCATTGTTGACTAAGTACTTGGATTTCTGTAATGATGTATTTATTATTTTTTAGAAAAAAAGATAATATACTTGTGATTGTAGATCAGTCCTAAGAGCCTATGAAGTTCATCCTAGCTTCAAGTCTCTGCGAATAAGAACAGATCTGAAATTAGTGATGTTCACCACTCAACCTTGACTTTTACATTCTACTGTTACCAGAGGAAACAGTGCAATTGTGCCAGAAAGTAGTCATGTGTTATACCTAGTTACTACACCAACTTGTTTCCTTTTGAAATTTGGTTTTATCATTTTCCCACATCAGAATTTGACTTGATCAATAATTTTGACTAACTTTGGTTAGCTATCTTACAACTGAGGATCAGCCCATGAAGGCAGTGTATGTAGCCAGTTTCCTTTGACTGAAGGGATGTAGCAAATATAACAAATGCCTGAAGAAAATAACTCAATAGAGAAAAGATACGTTTTGACTCACAGTCCAGAGTTTTGATTCGTGGCTGGCTGATCCTCTGCTTTTAGGCTGTGGCTAAGCAGAAACATCGTGGAGAAAGGGCATGGCAAAGAAAAATCTGTTCACGTGCAGAGATCTCCCTAGCTCAGATACACATTCCTCTTTTTTAAAATCAATAATGTCATCACTTTCAGGAGCCCCACTAATCCCAATTATCTCCCAAGTATTCTACTTCCAAATACCATTGGCATGCCAACTTGAGGATTGGGTTTCGAAGATGTTACCTACTGAGGAACACACTCAAACTTAGGTAGTATCAAAAAGTATGAGGTACATTTTCTATTGAGTGTATCATTAGTATTTATCTTCCTTTCTATTTTCAGATGCCTGTAGTGCATAGCATATGAATTCTCCATAAATATTCTGAGAAACGTAAATAGAGGTGTGAGTGCTAAAACTGGCACCTGCAAAGGCTAACTGGCATACTTTAAACCAACAGCTTATGATATAATTTCAGCAGATCTCTTATCTCTTTTTTCTTTTGTTATTATTTTTAAATATATAAATGAATTGCTTAGTGTTGGGGAAAATAAGCCTTTCTTTTTAACTGGGGACACTTGTACATAGCAGTGAATGCCCTATAACTCAGTACTCAGGAAGCTGAGGCAAAAGGATCACAAATGTGACATCAGCTAGGACTGCATAGTGAGACTGTCGAAAAACAACAACAACAACAAAAAATAGTGATGACCATATTCACCCGTACAAAGGCACAGACCAAAGGTATATTGGGGCATTTAGTCAGAAATGCAGTGCTAAAGTTTTTCTGCATTGAGTTTGGAGGGACAGTACATGTACCTGTGTGGAGTGAATTTTTTTTTTTCATTTTAAACTCTTAATGTGAAATTTTAGGCTTAGTTTCCTTTAAAATTCTCATGTGTGTTTAGTTTTGAAGAGAGATGAGGTCCTTCAGTTACCACTACTTGACTTCACAGACAGTGGAAAAGAGATGAGTTCCCATTGAGAGTAACTTTCACCTGTAACCATGGCAACATGGGAGAATACTAAAACAATCAATATCTGAGCAGTTTGCTCAGGACAGATTTGTCAGCCAATGTTCTCACCTCTCTGAAAGGTCACAACTAAGCCCTTTAGTACCAACATCAGTGCTAGAGAAGGCCACACAATACCCCTTTGAGTCATGAGGCAGGATTAACCTTGCACTTATGAATTCAGAATTTGAAACGAATTGACATGTTGACTTTAGGTATATACAATACCTGCTAGAATTTAAGTATGAATCCTGGCACATGTCATAGCATAGTATCTGCCTTCTAGAACTGCTCTGAAAGAATGAATGAATAACATGGAGCTGTGGGGCTAATGTCTGACATGCAGTAAGTTCCATGTATCCTGTGGTGGTTTGAATAAGAATGGCCCTCATAGGCTCATATATTTGAATGCTTAGTCACTAGGGAGTGGAACTCTGATAGAAGGAATAGGAGGTGTGGCTTTGTTAGGAAGTGTGTCACTGGGGGTGGGCTTTGAGGTTTTAGAAGCCAATGCCAGGCCTAGTCTCTCAATGCTTGCAGATCAGGGTGTAGCTCCCTGCTACTGTTCAATGCCATGCTGTTGCCATGCTCCTTGCCATGATGATAATGAACTCACCCGCTGAAACTGTAAGCAAGCTCTCAATTAAATGCTTTCTTTTATAAGAGTTGCCTTGGTCATGGTTTCTCTTCATAGCAATAGAACAGTGACTAAAATAAACCCTGTAATATCTGCAGTGACTTCAGATTCTGAGGTAGAGAAGGCTAGAGGAGAGACTTGGTCCTCCAGTTCTCTAAACCATTTGGTCCCTTGGTAGTCCAGTCTATCCCGGGTCAGGGGCTCTTGTAGTAATTCTCATATTTAAGTGACTTGGTAGTCCAGTCTATCCCGGGTCAGGGGCTCTTGTAGTAATTCTCATGTGTAACTGCCCTGGGCATGCAAAGGCTAGCCATACCAGTCAGAGTCCATTGTTCCCCTTAAAGAATAGCTGGTTTATTATTCTTCTGGCCAGAAGAAGCAAGACAGTTCCCACCCCTGCTCCCAATTCTCACCCTACATGTGCATCCAGTCCTCACAATCTACAAATCACACTCAACCCATCTCAGCCTTTATCATGATTAAACTTCTCTCTACCAGAAGACTATATCCTGAGCCTTTGGGAAATACACAAGCTCTAAGTTTTCTAAATAGTGTGCTGAGGAATTCTGATCAGGCGAGCTGTGCTGGAACAGAGGGTTCAACGAGTATTAAAGTCTGGATGGCACTGAATACTACATTTCCAAAGCAAGCAAAAACCCCAAACTATTCTACCATTCAGAGCTCTAGCTTTGCTTTATTGAATTTCCCCAATATATAAACTATGAAAAGATTTTATTTTTATTGTTTGATAATTTCATCCATCCATTTATGTTTTGATGAAATCCATCTCTCGTTTTCTCCTCTCCAATCCCTCTCCTAATCCCACCCTACCTTCCACTCCCAGCTACTTTTCCCTCCCAATTTTATGAGCTCTTAAAAAAAAAACTCACAAAGTCAGGCTGGGCATGGTGGTGCACACTCTTAATCCTAGCACTCAGAAGGCAGAGGCAAAGTATATCTCTGTGAGCTGGAGGACAGCCTGGTCTACATAGTGAGTTCCAGGGCAACCAAGGCTACACCAACAAAAGAATCAACAAAAAAACAAACAGAATCACTTAACGATCCCTGTATATGCATTGGTGTAAGACTATAAACTGAACCATGGTTAGCCCATCAGTGGCCAAATAATCTAAGAAAGTAGGCTTTTTCTCCCCCTGCAGCCATCACTTGCCAATAGCTCCTCAGCTAGGTGTGGGGTTCGTGAGCCCCAACCCATCTGCACTGGAAACTTGTATGGCTTCATTTTGTGCACCTAGTTCCAGCTTCTGTGAGTAGTAACTCTGTCATCTCCTGCAAATGCTGCTTCACTGCACACATTATTCCCTCTTGCTTTTACAGGCTTGCTTCCCTCTTGCTTCTTCTACAGTCATCTCAGAACATGATAAGGAATTCCCACTTAGAGCCGAGCACTTCACAGTCTCATATTCTCTGCACATTGACTAGTTATTGGTCTCTTTATTAATTGTCATCTACTGCAAAGGAAGCTTTTGTGATTAGAGCTAAATGATGCCCAAGTCTGTGTTATAAAGAGAAGAACTTGGGCAGTTTATTATTACATCTATTATTTAGCAGAATAATAATATTAGGTTCTCCCCTAGGTTTTATGGTATCCAGCCATGGGTTGGGGGCTAGTTAATAATACCAAGCATGAGTTCTGTTCTTATAGAACAAGGTGTCTTGAGAGCAGTGATGGCTGATAGGAGTCCTAGAGGGATGTCAGATGGAAGAGGTGAAAAGAGCAGAGAAGGAAGAAGAGGGGATGTTGACTGGGTTTCGATCTTACCCCGGGTGTGGTCTGTATACAAGCCTCCTAGTTCTTCAGCATAGATCAGATTTCAAATGCTCCTCTATCTACCTCTGGCAGCTGAACCATGCTAACACCTACCAGCCCCTCAGTAAAGGTGGATCACCCACTTACCGCAGCTTCTCAGCCCCCCATTCTGTCATTATCTGGGATCTTCCTGGAACCTTGCGGAATCAGTTTTATTGAAAGCAGCCTCTTCCAAAGTTTGGACCCCAACCGTATAAAATATACAAAACCTGGATGCAATTGTATGGACTCCCTCATCATCTTTTCCCCATCTGCTCAGTGAATTCCAGCAAGCCAAAGATGCTGCTTGCTTTGCTGTTAATAGACATTTCACTGTGTAGAAGGCAGAAAGCAACTCTTGGTTTTCAAGGGCAGACTACTATGTGGCACACTAATGGATATATCCTGGGACAACACACACATTAATTGACTTCCCTCCATGGAACTGTATGGGCTGTTCTCTGTGTGTGTTGTGTGGTAGGGGTTAGCAAGTTAAGCAGCTTCACTTTGCACCCTTCCCTCAGTGCTAGAGGATCAGGACTCAATCTGGTGGAAGGAAGCCCTTGGACATTCTGCAAAAGATCCTGCCATTAAAACTCCAGGAGGCCCATGAGAATACTACCACTTTACCATTCTTTCCGTTTCTTCCTCCAAAAATTCCACACCCACCATCTTCCATTTCTTCTAGAACTTTCATCTCCTCTCATTTCTACATCAGGTCTTCCCAGAGGACTGGATACAGAATGGGGCTCTGTCTTCTCAACCATTCATTGCTAATATCCCACTGGGACAAAGAGTAAATAGTAGACCTGCAAGGGCCTGGCAAAACTAGGGAGATGATTCAGTGGGTAAGACGCTTGCTGCATAAGCATAAAGACCTAGGTTTGGAACCCCAACACCCAACTCAAATCATGGCATGGCCACTGGTACCAATAACCCCAGCACTCAAGGGAAGGGGAAGAGGGGGAAGCACCATCAATACATCATCCAGAGCTGGGTCTAAGGGTGACTGAGACTGCTGGAGATAGATGGATCCCTGGGGCTTGCTAGCCAGTCAGCTTAGCAAAGAAACTAGAGAACTCCAGATTCAGACTCAGAGAGAGATCTGTTGCATGGGAATAGGATGCAGAATGCTAGAGTATGACAAGCTGCTTCCTCCTTTGAGTTCCACATGGTCGAGTGTGACACACATACACACACACACACACACACACACACACACACACAGAGAGAGAGAGAGAGAGAAAGAGAGAGAGAGAGCATTAGTTCATCTTCTTCCACTGGGATGACTTTAAAGAATTCCCTAAGCCTGTCTGGACTTGATGGAACACTGACAGACTGATAGTCTGGGTGTCAGGGAGCACTGAATGTGTTCATTTGCACTTGAGCTTTTAGGTCTTCGGTTAACACTTCCTTTCATTTTGGTTTTGTTTGGTCTCACACTGACCCTGAGTTCTCTCAGTGTAAATACAGAACAACCAAGGCACATTTTCTAGACTCTTCAGAAGGAATCTCTGTGTCTGCCCTTCTACAAGCCTTCCCACAGCCAGCTTCCCTAGTGGCAGAGCACAATTCACTGTTTCTCTAACCATCTCTGTCATGGAACAAGTGTCATCACAATTATATGTCATTTGTTTTTTTATTTAGCAACAATTTGAAACCCTAAACATTTTACTCATTGCCCTGAGTTTTGACCACTAGACTCTCGGTGAAGAGCTAGAAAGAATCCCTTCCCCACATTGCAGTCCTGCAGATGCTCCATCACACAGCACCAGGGCAAGGCAATGCATCACATGCTCTAAGTGTGGCTAAGGCATCTCAAGTGACACAAAGTAAGCTAATCACTGAATGTGTTTCCGGAAGCTGACAAAACCTCCAGTATGGATGGATGTGTTTCACTTCCCCCTACCCTGTAGCTGTGTTCACTCACATCCCCTCTGCCTCTGCTGGCCACGTCTTTCTTCTCCTAGTGCTCACTTGCCTTGCTCTTTAGACACAGGTTTCTATTCCTGTACAAAGTAACTAAACAACCCGATTAGGAAAACTGGTTTTGCTAATTCCATGGCGTGTTGGGAAGGAGACAGAATTCAATTACCTAATTGACTAAACAAATAAAGAAATACAGCAGTCGGGCAATGAAGTAAGTAGCTGTTCAGATTTTATGCAAAAAAAAAAAAAAAAAAAAAAAACCCAGGCCTGAATTCAACATTATTCAATTAGGCCATCAAATTACTTTTGTATTGAGGAAAACAAGCCCTTCTGGATCAGCCTGTGTTTCAGGCTTTCTGTGAACTAGACCAAAGAAGAGCCAGGCAGATCACTCAGGGCTTGGGAGGCATAGCGTTAATCAGGATGTTAGTGTAGTGGATTATGAGAGTGATTTATGTAATGCCTGGGGGAATACTTCTTCATTTGGCCAGGGACATGGTGATATTAAAGGGACAGTGTTACACACTGCCTGTCCCAGCCTTCTCTCTGGTTGCAACAACTTGAGCGTCTTGTCTGTGCTGGTGGATTATTAACAGAGGTTATTGGTCGCCATGGCAAAACAATTGAGCGATTGCATAGAACGTAATCTCATTTATGGGGGTGCAAAAAAAAAGACATAGGGTCAGGGATATAAATGCCCATCGCCACCGAGGGCCTGCAGTAGTTGAGAAGTGAATCAACTCCAAGGACACCATTCCAAAAGCTCTGACACTTGGTCCTAAATTTCTTATTTTAAATTTCTTATTTTAGCTACTGGGACTCACTGCCAAATCGCTGAGAAGACCCGTTAAGCAGGTGGTGAGAAGTCTTTGATCTCAGTGCTTTCCTGTGCCACCCCATCATGTGCACTGGGGGCTGTGCCAAGTGCCTGGGGGGCACTCTCATTCCCCTGGCTGTGTTTGGCCTCCTGGCGAATATCCTGTTGTTCTTTCCCGGAGGGAAGGTGATAGATGACAACAGCCACCTTTCCGAAGAGGTCTGGTATTTCGGAGGAATAGCGGGAAGCGGAGTCTTGGTGAGTAGAGACACCTTAATATTCCCTTAAAAGATAATTCCCCTGCTCCCATCCTCTTTCATTCGCTTCTTAGTACACGGATGCCATTCAGGAGCTAACAACCTTTACATACTGAAAAGTAGTGCCTTAGTTAGTATACTTCCCCTTCGTATTAGTGGCTGGGGACATCTTGGTTTACTAAGCAGTTCATCCCCCAAGCTTGGGGTGGAATCACCATAGGATATTTGAGCTCAGAGAATCAAGCTAACAGCCACTCAATCGCTTTACTCCAATAAAATCGTGCCGATAAGAATTATAAACGAAACACAGTGCTTTATCCAAATAAACGAGTTAGAATGCAGAGGTACAGAAGCTGTGGATTAGCTCTCATTCAGGAACTCACCGTTTCGTTACCCCTTGTTTCCAATATGGGCGGGACCTTCAGGTTGTAGTATGACACTATGTCTCTTTTCTTTGCCCTAACCCACCCTTTAGATGACAACTAGGGATGCCAACTCTTAAAATCTCCTCACAGACATTGGTCAGTCAGGCCAAATGGAGCCCCCATACTCAAAACATGACCTACGAGTCACGCTAGCTGTTAGGTCTTGCCTGCCCACCTAAGCCTCTGAGACCTGAGGTCTTCATTGGCCAGGAAAAAACAAAAACAAAAACAAAAAAACTGTGGGCTTCCCTTCAACCCCAGACACTCTGAGCACATCTTCTCTTGCTGGCAGATGATCTTCCCCGCACTGGTGTTCCTGGGCCTGAAAAACAATGACTGCTGTGGATGCTGTGGCAACCCAAGCTGTGGGAAGCGATTTGCGGTGAGTTGTCATGGGGTCAGTGGCCAGAATTACTCTGGAGTTCACAGCTGGCTTGTGCTGGGCAGCATGGGTGTGCTGAACAAGCAACCAGCTCCAAGCCAGACTCTTGGGACATCGACTACATGATTAAGCTCTGATTCTCGCTGGTGCAGAATAAAAAGATTAAATATATTAAATTCTACAACCTTCATACTTAGAGGTATAGAGATATTTCAGTTTTACAAGTCCACTGCGACGACAAAGCTTTAGAACTGGGGTGACATGACACCACACAGAGCAGGCAGAGGTGGGGCCACACACTTCCCTCTGTCACTAAGAAGCAATGAGAACTTGAACAAATGGTATCTTTCTGCTGGCTCTGAATTGTCTCATCATTAAAGGAGACCTGGGGCAGGATAAAAGATGCTATCTCCCCTCCCTAATAGCTCACTAAACTCCTGTCTTTACCACAGCCAAGGGCACTATTTCTGGAGGCCCAGCATTTCCCACTGCCACCCAGAATCTGCCTCAGGATTTCAGCTTCCTCTCCTGTTTCATGAGGCCATCCATCTTTTAGTTAGTGAACTGGAGACTAGGGAGGCATTGATGTTCCCAGGGGAGCAGAAGGAATGCTGGCATGTAGGTCAGGTCCCATTTCTGCAACTGGGCAAGTCACCAAGTGTAAGATAAGGGAGTTGGACTGGATCAGAATTCCCTAGTTATGGGCCAAACCCTGCTGTATAGATACGTGTGTCCAACAACAAAGAATGTTTTCTTTAACTTATCCTCCTGTTGTTTTTATTCTATGAAGGAAAAAAAAATCCTTATTTTGATGGGGATAAGTCTGCTGTTTCTAAACCTTCAAGCCTTCCTTCTGAAAAAGGAAGAACCCAAGGCTCTAAGAACACAAGCAACATTAGGTGACTAAAACTTAATAACACTATGTTCATGTTTGCTAACAATTTCAGCTTTTCTTTCAAAATAGTGATATAGATAAATAAAACACTTGGCTCAAAAAATATTAAGTATTTAGGTATATGATGAGACAAACATATGATGAGTGTAGACCCTGGGTTCGATGATGAGTAGCTAAGATGATGAGAAAGCTGGAGCTTTCCTGCTCCAGCTAAGCCTGCTTTAAATTCTTGTCTGTCCATTCTTAAACAGAACTACCTTGATGTTTCTTTCTTGCCATCATCTGCCCATTTATTTAAGAAAGAAGGTATTTACCAAGTACACACAGAAGGCCACTGTGCTCTGTGCATAATACACTGAGGCTTTTTTTGTATGACATCTTATCACTTATAGAATATCTCTTCTAAAAAGCATCGTAAGTACTGAAAATTGTCATTTCAGCATTTTTACACAAAGAGTAAAAATAGCAACAACACATTTGATATAATTGTGTCAAATGTTGTATATACTTGGCAATATTTTCGTATGATTGACTATAAAGGAAGTGCATTTTCCCATCAGATCATTTACAAATAAGTTAGCGATGGCGGCTTGAAAAAATAGCAATTAAGGAATTTGGATGAAAATATAAAAATCATATCTTAGAAATCTATGTATGCATTTCTAATGCTGGGCAAAACTAGACAATGACTGACTATTACACAATAAGCAGACAGGCAGGTGCTCAGGCTTGCTTGTGGGTTTCTAGGTTTCTCTGTCACTAAAGTAAAAAGTGAAACTGTTCAAAGTATTATACAAAATGTTAATTTCATTTGATTTAAATGAAGTACACAGTACAGCAAGAAAGTCATGTTGTTCCCGGTGCAGTTGAACAAGCATGTTCTGAAACATTTGGTCTGGTCAATATATATCGCCACCCAGGGCTCCTGAACCCCCAGTTGGGAGCTGCTGTTGGAGAGGATTGAGAATAGCTGCCTCCTACTGACAGGAGTAAAGAATAGAAACCACAGCTTTAAGCCTCAGCTACAGGAGACCAGGGCACCATGGCTAAATAGTTAGCACCCGGGTTTCTTAGCTTGGGTGGGTTTGTTTTTAATCAATGATGAGAGCACCAGTTGCACCTGTATGTCTTCTTTTCAAATGACAAAAATTTAGCCTGGTATCCCTGGCCTTAGAGCACAACCATGGCCTGTCTATGTTGGTGTGGCCTGTGCTGACACAGCTCTAGGGTTCTATATTGGCTGCTTCGTGGAACCTGGGAGTGTCCCTGTCCCCATCCAAGACCACGTTTATAGCCAAAGGCCCCTGCTTTACAGTTGTACTCTTTCTGTTCAGAGGAATACCAAGTGAGGCAGTTAACATTTTGTCAGAAATACACCACACACACACACACACACACACACAGCTGCACCATTATTTAAATACTACAGTGGTGATAATCTGCATTCTTTTTGTAAGTGCTTAAGGCATTTCCTTACAAATGAACACCACCCCAGTTGTCTGTGGTGCTCTGAGAAGCCCTGACAGTAGAAAGATCTATGAGCAAACACCCATAGAAGCTAGAGCAGCAGTCTCCCCCACCTTCACTGGCACTGTTATGTTTTTCTAGAACATTCCCCAAATGCTAACTGCACTTACACCATTCATGTCCTTCAGTAACAGAAAGCAGGAATTGGAAGGTAACGTGAACTTGTGATCTGTAAACAACCTTGAAATTACCTAATTCATAGTTTCATTGTGAAGTCTGAGAAAATAGGTAGTCTTTCTATCTGTGTTTCTGTGTGTGTTCTGGGTCTCTGACCTTTCTCTCTGTCTCTCTGTCTCTGTCTCTGTCTCTGTCTCTCTGTCTCTGTCTCTGTCTCTCTCTCTCTCTCTCTCTCTCTCTCTCTCTCTGTCACACACACACACACACACACACACACACACACACACACATATCTCTGATCCCTGACAGGCCCCTGAAGCTCATCCCAAAGGTCTGAACTCTCTCAGATAAATTAGGCTGATGTGACCCAGGGGGAAAAAAAAAAAAAAGAACAGGTACCTTCCAGGGCGGCCTTTGAAGCCCTGACCTGGGTTTGTTTTTAGGTCACAACCTTCCCTTCCCATGCCCAAGAATCTCTCCGACTTCTAACTGCCTGTCTGTTTGGTCACTACCCTCTGTACTCTCTTTAATGTTTGGAAAATGTTGATCTCCCAGGGCCCAGCGAGATGACAGATAACTAATTTTATCAACTCATTCGCTTTAGCAAAGGGCCATTTAGAAACCTTGGACTTGATTCAAAGTTGAATGTCTTTAATAACAGGATGAAAAGTAGATTGATGAAGGAGATAGCTGGGGGCAAGGCAGACATTTCAGTTCTTAACAGTGTCGGGTAATAAATCCTGATATCCGCACCCCAGGAAGGGCACTGTGGTTGACTTTTTGGAGGAAGATCTTGGTATCATCATAAGGCGATCGGTATGCAGTTGAGTCTGCGCTTCTTCTTGTGCTTGGCTCATCACTGCCCCCTACAGACAGATCATAGATATCTAGCTCTTCATTCCTACCCATGGCAGATTGGAGGAAACTTAAGAAAGGCAATGCTTTTTTTAAAGGGTGCATTATCATAAGAAATTAAAGTGTGGATCTACATTTCTTCACTGTTCTCTACTCTTCAAAAAAATCATCTTCTTTGTCTAGGAATGACCCTCAGTAGTAAAATGCTTACCTGCCATGCATGTCACTAGGTTTCACGCCCAGCATACCAAAAATTTGAAGAAAAAGCAAAACAAAACAAAAAAGGAAAATGCCCTGTTGTCAAATGGGTATGGCAATGACACTTGTTAACTTTTGGGATGATATTGCCAGAAAGAAGTTGTGTTTCAGTGAGGAGACCTCGAAAATCTACGGAACCTCCTGCAGTAGTTCAGTACTTATCCCTAGCATAGGTGTGGACTTTGGGAGCCCATTCCACACAGAGGAATACTCCCTGAGCCAAGACACACGTGGGTGGGCCTAGGCCCTATCCCAAAGGATACGATAGACTCTGATGACACCCTATGGAAGGCTTCATCCTCCCTGGGGAACAGAAAGGATATGTGATAGGTAGGGTATTAGTTAGGAGGGGGTAGTAGGGGAGGAGGGGAGGGAGAGAGAACTGGGATTGACATGTAAAACAATCTTGTTTCTAATTCAAATGAAAAACATCTGGGGGAAAAAAAGAAGTTGTTGCAACATTAGTGTGAAGAGAAGGAAGGGAAGTCCCAGGTAAGTGTTCAGTATCAAGGACATAATAAATTCTGGAGAAATACTTGCTAGGCAAATAAAGTAAGGAATACCAAGAGGGATGTCAGGGGATTTCTATACTTTCCCAGGCTTAATCCTCACAAAAGCCCTTTGAGTTACACAATAACGCCCTCATGTTACAAGTGAAGAAACCCAGGTTGTACCTTAAGTTCCTGACTGGCGCCCTCAAAGCTTTCTTAAGCAGAGCCAAGACAGAAAATACAGGATACTACTGTTTTAAGAGAAAAACAGTTGGGCCTGCTGGCACACTGTAATCCCAGCCCTCAGAGGCTAGCCTTTAGAGAAAGGAGGGAAGGAGAGAGAGAGAGAGAGAGAGAGAGAGAGAGAGAGAGAGAGAGAGAGAGAGTCAACCTCAGGTAGCCTCCATTGGTCTCTGAGAATGTTTGTCTAGTAGGAAAGGAGGTGTCCACCAGAGGTATCTTCCTTACTCGCATTGCCATTGTCCAGCACTGTGACTACTACACCCCCAGGCCACACACTTTTCCTCCCCTTCCAGCTCCATGGTCCTTTCCATGCGATCCGGCTAAAATCAGCATATAATAAGTGGCCAAAGACACACTCTGAGCAATGACAGCAGTCCTGGGCTCAGTTATCACAGGACCCTGATAGAGAGGTCATCAGGCGGGCAGGAGGTGAGTTAGAAGGCATCTGATTACAGGACTTTCTTATCATCTGCTTCAAGGAAAGCTTTGCAGCATACAATATGGATATGCATGCCTAGCAGTGTGAACAGAATGTGTCTGGGAGCAGGGATATTCAGCAGTAGAACATTTGACTGCAGAATGTGTTTCTGGAACAACCATCTAAGAGGAAATCCATTTACTTTTGTTTTCTCCCCAGACTTTTGCATTTTGTATTTGTAGAAAGGAAGGTGAAGATTCAACAGTAAAAATATTACAGCATAATAATAATAATAAATTGTTATGTACTAGCACTCATGCATTGAGTGTATTACAGCATCATGAAAATTTTCCTAAGAATAAGCACAAAAGATCCCTAGTGTCTTATCAATGAGTGGCATACTGGGTATTGTTTAATAGCTCACCCATCACTTCAATCCTGAGAAATATCTGGTTCTTCTAGAGGCTAGTCACTGCTTAACAGGTTCTCTTACTCATTAATTATTATTATTGAACCTCATTTTATAGAAGAAGAAACAAGGCAGAATGATTAACTTCTCAAGGTCATGTGGGAGTAGCTAGGACTTAGACCCAGCTCCCGCTCCCTGTAACTCACACACATGATCATGACACATTAGCGTCCCTTTTTTCTATTTATTCCTTTCGGAGAGATAAAGCAGACTGCAGTGCAAAGGCTAGGATGAATGTTCCCATTCTGGATTCCCAAACCTGGCAGGCAGGGTTGCTCTCCAGAGGCACCACCTTGGAAGCTGTCCCAGATCTTTTGCCTATTTGCTTTAAATATTATCATCTAGGGGGTGGCTACCCTGATGTACTTAATTTGACCTCAGTAAATTCCCATTTAATAAAAGACTTTTTAACCATAAAAACCTATGATAAATGGGACTTAACCCATGCTTGTTTTAAGACAGATCATATCTGGCTGGGTGTGGTGGCACTAGGCACTTTTATGTGATATAAATTAAAGCAGTGTGATGTAAAGTGTACCTTCCTTTATGTGATTCATCTATTCTGTAAGATTATGAAAATTAGAGTGTTTGTTTTATTTATTTTAAGTGGGGGTGTTTCAAACTGGAACTCAAAAATAGAACATATTGCTTACAGCTCTCTCCAAAACTGGAACCCAATGTCCCATTCCTTTTCAAAGGGACTGTATAGCAAAATAAAGCACAATCTATTTGCTTAAAAATGACTGTCTTCCTCTCATTATCACATTTCTTTCCTTCGTGAGAGGAAGAATTGCCATGAAGTCAATGAACACCAGATCCATGAATTTTAAAACTTCTTACTACCAAAAATTTTCAAATGACCTAGATGAATATGTTTATACATGGCAGCCGCATGTGGCTGATGAGGAAGTGGAAAGTGCCTGATCTATGCAAAATATGACCATATTCCAAAGAACTGATACAAAAAAAGACATTTTATTCTGATTACATGTTGAAATAACATTAAGTATGCAAAATTAAACAAAACACATTGTTAAAGTAAATACCTCCTGTATTTTTCTTTAAGCTGGGACATTCACTTTTTTTTTTTTTTTAGATTAACATTATAGACCAAGGTGATCTAGGAGAAGTTCAAATGGTTACACTTTGATAAAAGGGAACATCATCCCTTACCATCCCCTTGTTGATGGCTTTCATTAATCTGACTTCTCATTTGCCTAAATGGGAATGTGTTTACCTCTGTACTCACTCTTTGCCATTATCCTCTTACAGTCTAGGTGAAAATTACTTATGAACACCCTCTCAAAATAACTTTTATCCTTTTTTTTCTAGACAGACTTTCATGCATCCCAGGCTGCTTTAAACTTGACATATAGCCAAATGGGACCTTGAACTTCTTACCCTCCTGCCTCCACGTCCAGAAGCATGAATTATAGGTGTGCATCATTGTGCCCAGTTTTCAAAACTATGTAAAATAACATTCACTGAATCTTTAAAGGGAATTCATTGTATTAAAGGGTTAAAAAACAAAATATTAAAACAGCCAATGCATGAAATGTTAATAGAAGTGCTTTTTTTTTTTTTTTACTTACTAACACATTGAATAAGTTGAGGTATCAAGTCTTTCAGAATTTCAAATTCATGTCAAGTAGTGACAATGGTTGCATAGCCATAATGTGATAAAAAAAATATCTATAGACAGTTCAAGAACAGCCTAGGCTGCTGAAGTCCCCATCTTGAAGCTGGTGGGAGGACATTCCACTGCTGATAATGACAGCACAGACTTGTGTATGATCAAACATGTAAAATGTTTAGCGGTGGTACCTGTACTCCTTTACCCAGATCTCTCAGCAAGAGGAAGAGGAGTTAACTTTTCCTTTCTCTACTGTCTGGGTGTGGAAATCCTGGCCTGAAGGGGCCTAGAGCTGTGGATACCTCCACTCTTGTTTGGTCCAATGCTGCTGAGAGCACAGCAGCCAGACAGCCTGAGAGACCCACCTCTCACCTGGAAATACAACTCTGTTTTAATACAGTTCAAAGACCTGTGGATTCAATCAGTAATGGTTTAATGACTTCTGGCTAGAATAGGCCACTACAGTGACATCAAGTAAGCAGAAAGCTATTTTAGCTTTAATTTTATTTTATGTGTGTGAGAAAACTAATTTCATTCACAAGGAAACTTGAAAATAATATAATGTCCAGCGCTGGTGCCATGAGGTGTGGAGGTATAGAGTGGGGGTATGTATCACATCTTTGTGTCCACAGGTAGTGTGCCTAGGACCAGAGTGGAGAGCCTCTAGACTTATAGTCTTCAGCAGCATAAGCAGAATGTGTACCACATAAAGCACTTGGCCAGAAAAATCAATCCCAAGATGCTTTTCTTCTGTAGCAGATTGCCCTTGCATATTGGTCTTGTAGATTTTACTCTTATCATTGTGTGTGTGTCTGTGTGTGTGTGTGTGTGTGTGTGTGTGTGTGTGTGTGTGTGTTGATCTGAAGGTACAGGCAGTATTGAATTCCTCAATCGATGAATAATTGAAAAGATGAACATGGAATAAAAAAAAGGAACATGAGTCACAAAGCTTCATTTGAGAGAGCTGTAAGTCCCACCTGTAATTACAAATAGCTCCTACCCTATGGTCATCAGGTTTGCTGAGTGTTGTAACTGAGCATAAATAATCTCCGCACTGTCTGAGAACTTTGTTGTCTCTCCTCCCACTCAGATGTTCTCCTCTACGTTGTTTGCTCTGATTGGATTTGTGGGTGCTGGATACTCATTCGTCGTCTCAGCTGTCTCCATCAACAAAGGTCCTAAATGCCTCTTGAGCAATGGCACATGGGAATACCCCTTCCACAATGGGTAAGGCTCCATGTACAATGAACATAATGTCATGGCCTCTTCATTATGGACTCTCAACATGTTGCCCCTCAAGGCAAAGCTGGCTCTGTAGTTAAGAGAAGTTTCATAGACCTCGCTTCTGATTATCCTTTTGAAAAACACAACAGAAGTAACTGGAAGAGGATGCCTTAGTTGTCCAGAGAAAAACTGTTGTGTCACAACTCATATGCAAGCATTAGCATATTGTATTTAATATTTTTGTCTTCAAGGAGTGTACCTAGGACTTTCTGGCCAAGTCTAGATTCCTAGTCTTCGGCGGCATAATCAGAATCTGCTTGCCATATAGGACACCATAGTGACATTCCCAAATGAATATTTGATTTAATTCTACAATTATACCAGCCTTACTAGCTGTTTGTGACTTGTAGCTACTGTGCTGAATAGCAAAAATATAGAGCATTTCCATTGTGGCAGATGTTCTATTAGATAACTCTACTCTATTCTGAGAATCTTGAACCATTTCTCATTTGCTCATTATCTCAGATCTTCTATTTTGCACAGTGGTTGAACATCCCTGGGGGTCAAGAAGTACGGCTGTTGGATTGTCTAGCACATAGAGAATGGGTCCATTACAAATAACTATGTAGTATACCAATAAACAGTTTTCCATTAGCATCTATGGAGCCTCCTGAACATCTGTAGTTATTGTTGTACAAGTACCTATCACAGACTTGCAACAACATTTGCATATTATTTATAATACTTGATGCAATGTAAATGCTATGCAAACAACCGATACACTGTTTTGCTTAGAGAACAATGACATGTCCATTACAGATGCAATTTTATCAGTTATTTATGATCAAATTTACATACACGGTACCTGAATATACAGAAAGATGGCTGTATTAACTTAAACTACTGTTTATTCATTTACAATAAGATCCTTAGAAACTTTGAGAACTGTCTTCAGACTGGAGAGGTGGGAAGCTCTGGCTCTGATATGATGGTCTTGGTATGTTCACAGTCAGCAAGTACCCCAACCCTGTTCTCACAACTAACAAACATAGATCTGTCATCTTCACAGATGACTCCAAGATATTTCTTTTACTTTAGAAATCCCTCATACCTTGCAGTGAACTGTTGAGATTCCATCACCATGGGATTGAATTGAGGAACATAGAATTTAGACACCAGCATGCTGAGCCTTCTCTTGAGGTGTTATATCAGTGGCTCAGTCTTTGCCCAAGAAGGAGTCAGGAAAGCAGTGGGTTATGTCTTTCTGAATGACCCTTCTGCTATTACTTCTATCAACAGCATCTTTGCAGTGTTAACCACAGGTTTCTGTTGTGTGAATAAGATTGTCCTCCATGAACTTAATGTCAAATAGCCTAAAGGCTGTGTCAAAAACAAAGGAGAGAGAGAAGGAAACACAATAGGAGCAAAGTACCACTCTAGAGCAATACAATGGCCCAGTGGTTCTGACAGGGAAGACCTCTGACATGCCCCTAGATTAAGGTAAATTCGTGCCCTGCTTGGGATGGAATGGAGCCAATGACTGAGGTCAGGAGAGCAGCCATTGACCCTGTAGATAACACCAGAAATGTTGACTAAGGTAAAAGCAGGAAGCCATGTTTCCGAGTGCTGTGTGCTCGTACTTCAGAAGAGGCCTGTTCTCACCATTCTCCTCACAGCTGCTCCTGGTGGGTCACTCTCATGCATGCTGTCATTTTATGTCATTATATCTGTTCCTCACAGTGACAATTCATCTATCAACAGTGGCAGATGATAGTTTCATAATGAAAACAGCATAGAGTCAACCTTATTAGAAGGGACAAGATTTCAGAATTCTCCCATCTCTGTTCACTGTACAAGAAGATATTAGCCAGGATTAGGAGTGAGGAGAAAAGGCAGATGCTACGAAGGTGGCCTCTGAGATTCCAGCTTGGACTATAAAATTCACAGTTTCTCAATATTGAGTAACTTACCACTTTTTCTTCGAGTTGTTTACTAACGATGAGAGTAAGGGAGCAAAGAGTGGAAGTTTATCTGCCACAAGATCCTCCTTAGAGAAGCATCCTAGGAGAAAGGAAACACGTCTGCTTTATGTTCCTTTGAGCAGAACTTCCTTTCACCCAACTCTTCTTTTCTGAGACTCTGGGCCACCCAACAGCTTTGACCCATAGTCGCCAAGAAGGATGCAGGAGGAAGAGCACTGGGGGCAAGTGTTCAGCTTCAGGGAAAAGGCACCCACACAAGACACTTTTGTGTTGCTTCTTTTCTGCTAAATGTAAGAGCTGAGAATAGGGCACATACCTCCACATGGTGGCTGGATCCAAACCAAATACAATTAAATATTCTTCCTGGACTCTCAATTAATACTATTGCATTGTAATCAATATTACTGTCATATATCTCTCATGTCTTCTTCTGTGAAGCTGTGGTAACAACTGGGTCTACCCCATAGGCTCCAGTGAGAATATAATAACATAATAGACATAAAGTACTTGCACAATTCCTGTGAGTTTTATAAATAATCATATTTCTATGACTTCTCAAATATGGCTTTGTGTAATGGTAAAAGTACCAGCTTAGGAATTCCAAGACAGAAACCTGCCCGTACACCTGACCCTATCTCCTCAGTGCTGGGATTGTAGGTGTGCACCTGCACTTCTGGTTTTGCTATGTTAGTGGATAAAACTCAGGGCCTTTCGCACTCCAGGTAAGCACTCTATCAACCGAAATGCATCTTTTTGGGATTGGAAGGGGTGTTTGTTTGGTTGATTTTGAGTCAGGCTATCACACTATAGCTTTGGGCTTGCTCAAAGCATTCCTCCTGCCTCAGCCTCCCAAGTGCTGAGATTACAGGTGTCAGCTACTACACCTGGCTGAGAGGCTTCCTTTTAATCATAGGACATGATCTATTTTACATGGCTTTGGATGATCACTTGATAATTGTGACAATAGAATTGGTCTCTAATATTAACTAGGATGAGGGCCATCAACCTGTAAGCAGTGCAGGCCGGGCACAGCTTCATTTCCTGCTTCTTTATAAATGTGTGTGTGCTTATTTGTACAGTTGGTCAGCCCATAAAAATTGCTCTGTCACTTAGTAGTTTATGACTGGGACAAGTCACATAAAGTCTCCATACATGAGGAAAGAGTCCTGGATTTCTGTGAAGAATCAACAAATGAAGGTGTCAAGTATCCATGACAGTAACCTTCATGGAAGATGTACATGGGGAGATGTGTTTGGGATCTTTTTACTGATATTATAGGGTATTTCATCATAGAGTGTGTCTTGCACAGGAGAAATGGTAATGGCAAGTTTCTAGTCTAGGAGATCATATACATTTGATAAATGTCTCCTTCCTGCCTGTGTCCCTGTCACCTGCAGTGATTATCTTAATGACCAAGCCTTGTGGAGCAAGTGCGTACAGCCCCAGGATGTGGTCCCCTGGAACCTCACCCTCTTCTCCATCCTGCTGGTCATCGGATTGATCCAGATGGTGCTCTGTGCCATCCAGGTGATCAATGGCCTCCTGGGAACCCTCTGCGGAGATTGCCAGTGCTGTGGCTGCTGTGGGGTACGTTAGGATTCTGTTGTTTCTTCCCAGAACAAAGGAGGTCAAGTTAGGCCACCATCACAATGAGATGAGGGATAGTGAGTATGGCTCCCTGGGAAAAACCTGGCCACTCTTGGGCTCCTGGCAGCTCATACAAGCAGCGGTGTTATTTTATTGCACATTGTAGAGCAATGTGCCCAGAATGAAGCTGACCACACTTCCCAGGGCCACACCTCGCTACACGTATAGATTTATATAACTACAGCATTTACAGAAGGGCTTCAGAAGTGTTTGCCAGATGGGCATGTTCCTTGCAGCAATACATTACATCTGGCCTAGAATTCTCACTTCTTCCAATGAAGAGGATCAGTGCAGAGACTAAACAATTTCTGATACAAGAAGAGAAAGGAAGGAAATTAGTCAAGATGACTTTCCATATTTCATCATAAAATATCAATAACAAAAATATAAAAAATAAAAACAAATCTATATATAATAAAACATCCTGATTATTTCAACACATAACCAAATTAGATCAGGCAATTATATATCCACACGTTTATTATAAACAGATTGAGAAATGAATAAAACAATAACTTATTTTTTACATTTCCATTTCAAGTAAGCAGTAAGTATATGAAAATATGTATGAAGACACATATTCAAAAATATGTAATGGCCTGGAAAGTCTCTCTCTCTTACTTACCTTCTACTCACCCAGTTTCTTCCAGGTTCCTCACTATATAAAGCTATATAATTTCTTATATATCCTCCCAGGCTTTTAAAATTATTTTTATATGTCATATGTAAATAGAATATTCTCCCTAAAACTACAATATTATTGAAAACACTAGACTAAGGCTTTAGTCCAGTGGTAAAGAATTTGCCTAGCATTCATGAGGCTCTATTAGCAGCATCGTGTGTGGCGGGGCATTCATTTGAAAATAGACTGTAAAATTTACATGTTAAATAATATACAATTACAAAAATAAAAATAACTATGCATAGAAAAAAACAATGAAAAGTGTTGTCAGAATTATTTTAAATGAAGACTGATTTTTTTCCTTCCCTCTTGATTATAGTATTACAAAAGTTAATAACAAAAAAGTTAATAATTATATATTGTTTTGACAATATAAAAATCTGGGCCAGCAAGATAGTTCAGTGGGTAAAGGCACTTGCTGCCAAGCCTGACAACCCAGCTCAATCCACAAGACACACACAGAGGAAGAAGACAACCACACGCATGCAATAAAATTATAAAATTGTAAAATTTTAATAAACAAAAACATTTTTAATGAAAGTCTGATTTCTATTTTCAGAACCTATGGTGGAAGATGACTGACTCCTGAAAGTTGTCCTTAGACCCCCCCCACATTGTAGCACATATGCATATACTCACACACTATTAAGTAAAAGTTTAAAATATGAATACAGTAAATAAAATTTCCCTGCAGGAAAACGCATATATAATCAACTGCACCAACTATTACATTTTTTTCCTGTAGAATTTCAATTCTTTTGTGCTGATTTTGTTTTGTTTTGTTTTTTGAAATAAGGTTTTATCCTGGATGGTCTGAAATTCCTCAAGTAGACCAGGCTGGCCTGAAACTCAGATTGATCATCTGCCTCTGCCTCTTGAGATTAAAGACATGCACCACCATGCCTGGTCTTTTTTTTTTTTTTTTTTTTTTTTTTTTATCTTTAAACAACTGGAAAGGCTGATTAGCAGTTACTAACCAACAAAGTATTTAAGTATTTTCTGTGGTAGCAATGAAGAATATTGAGCGTGTGGGGGCTTGAGAGATGGCACAGTGGTTAAGAATACTGCCTGCTTTTTTAGAGGACCAGGTTTGATTCCCAGCACCCACATGGTAACTCACAATAGTCTGTAAGTCCAGTTCCAGGGGATCTGATGCCTTCCTCTGGCCTTTCCAGCATCTGGCACAAAAGTAATGCACATTCATGCAGGCAGGTAAAATACCCATATACATAAAATAAAAATAAATAAATCCTTAAGAATACTTAACATTTAAATCTCATAGTTCACTCAAAATGAATGAATACTTCCTAAACCAGCTAAACTGATAGTGGGAAAGCTTTCAGTAGGAAACACACTAAAGGACAAGGGGAGTCAAAAGGAAGAGTTAGGTGAGGGTTAGAGCAGGGAGACAGTTGGAGAAAAAGAAAAAGAAGGCATCTTAATTAATTTTCTTTTCCTACCTTCTAGGGGAATGGAGCAGTCTAACAGGTTGTGATGAGCTACTCCAACTTGACCTCACTTCCAGTGGGAAGTCCCGCCCCAGGACACACCCCAGACCCAACCTTGCCCACAGGGGATGCTGATTCCTGTCTTTTTCCTCCTTGGCAGAGGTTGAGAGGCACAGGATCTTTTTCTCTTTTCAAATAACTTTGCTCAACCTAGAAATTTGGTGGGTTTGTGGTTTTTTTTTTTTTTTTCAAAAAAAAAATAAAAATACCTGGGTAACTTTACAAATTAGCTCCCCTTTAGAATTCCAGAAGAAGTTAAAAGCAACTTTTTTATGATTTCCCCTAGAAAATGTAAACAAGATGAAACCGTTTGTCCCACCACACCGCTTCTTTGTATATAAAGATGTTCATATTTTAGGAGGATTTGCATAACTCTAGGAAAAAAGCATTAAAGTGAAAACCAGTTTTTCAGGATGCATGGAGAAGGAATAATTGCTGTATGAGATATTTCTATGTGAAGTCTGTTTGGACTAACCTGTCTGGGCTACTTGTGACTAGTTTTATGAGCCTGTCATTATTAGCCAGGGTTCCCACATGTATATGAAATTAAATTAATTAAATTCAGAATTAAAATAGCTGCTGCTGCTGGCGTGTGTGTGTGTGTGTGTGTGTGTGTGTGTGTGTGTGTGTGTGTTAGGGAGGAAGAAGAAAGAGAATGAATCATACCTGCTTGTCCTTTATCTTTTTATAAATGCATTCTTTCTTTCCATTCTCTCTGATTTTTTATTTGCTGTTTTACTTTTCTGGCTTTTTTTTTTTTAGGTTTTTTTTTTTTTCAAAAAAAATCTTTTTTTTTTTTTTTTTTTTTTTTTTGGCTTTTCAAGACTTGCTTTGTAATCTAAGCTGCTACAGAAATCATGCTCTTCCCACAACTGCCTTCTCAGTGCGGACATTACAAGCAAATGCCACCATGCCTGGCCAAATTTGTTGCTTGATCAAGCATCAAAAAATTTGTAAGAAGTTGATTGGATAACAATTTTCAGCCTATTGGGCAAGATTGATTTAAGAAGTTATGTTAATTCCATGTGCTGTGATGATAAGTTCATCTTGGTTTCACTGGTTAGGCACTAACGTGAAATCAAATTCACTTGGCTTCTAATTTCACTTCAACATAGCAGTTTAGAGGCCCTGAAAGGGAGTTTGTAAGTCTCAGTTTCCCCACCTGCAAAAGGAGTGTTGAAATATGTTCACCTGGGGTACTCTGATGTCATCAGGTATGAAACAAAGGCTTGCAATATCGTCGGTGTAACTTATGAACCATTCAAAGGAACTCAAAGGGAATTACATCCAGTCTCATCTCCATAACTGCCAATCAGTTAAAGTGCACTGTGTGGGTTAGGCCCACTCAAAACTCAGTTCTCATACTCACCACCTGTCTTACTTAGGGTTTCTATTGCTTTGACAAAACACCATGATCAAGTGTGGTGGCCCATGCTTTTAATCCCAGCACTCAGAAGGCAGAGGAAGGCGGATCTCTGTGAGTTAGAGGCCAGCCTGATCTACAGCGCTAGTTCCAGAACAGCTAGGGCTGTTACACAAAGAAACCCTGTCTTGAAAACAAAACAAAACACTATGACCAAAAAGCAAGTTGGCTTATACTTCCACATTGCTGTCCTTCATTGAAGGACAGGAACTCAAACAAGGCAGGATCCTGGAGGCAGAAGCTGATGAAGAGGCCATGGGGGGGGTGCTGCTTACTGACTTGCTTTATATGGATTGCTCAACCTGCTCTCTTATAGAACCTAGGACTACCAGTCCAGGAATGACACCACCTACAATGGGCTGGGCCCTCCCCTATTGGTCACTAATTGAGAAAATGGATCTCATGGAGACATTTTCTCTAATGAGGCTCCTTCCTCTCTCACGACTCAGGTTCATGTCAAGTTGTCACAAAACCAGTATACCACCTACTGTGTGCTAGCCACCCAAAAGGTCAGGCACTGAAGATGCAAAGTGCCACGTTATTTTTTACCTCATCAAAGTATTGCAATAAACTCTGTGAGGCAAGTGATCATATCTGAGACCTGAAATTCAGTTGGCAGCAGGAAAATGGCCAATTTGCCCAGGCAGATGGGTCCTTGGGAGAGTTTAACATAGACACACACACACACACACACACACACACACTGATTCAGTTGAGACCATTGGTTCTGAAATGTGGCTGAGTATCAAATTTACCCAAGAAATGCTCTGTAATTACATGTTTGCAAGCCCTCCTTAACCTAAACATAAGGTGATGCTGGGACCAACCGTGCTGCATTACAATTGTCTTAGATGATAGCCTGTCACCTAGAATGAAGAGCAATCAGGCCAAATCAATACTCCTGGGAACTCCACCTGCTTGAAGTGCATGAGCATCAGTGCAGCCTGGTGACAATGATCAGGTCAGTGTCTCCCCATGACAACAAATTCACCTCCTCCTTGAGTTCTTTGATAGGGAAACCAGGATGGGCATCAGAGGACCAATTACATGGGCCTATCACTGACTCTGTCTTAGAAGAAAACTGGGCTTACATAGTGATCATCACATTTGGTCCCCTTATTTTACACATGAGGAACTGAAACAAGTATGTGACAAATTTTCATCTAGGAATACTGTTTCCCCAAGACCAGGGGAAATAGTGCATCTCAGATAAAGGGACTTAGAAGGGGGAGCTAGAAATGGATGAGAGGAGTTGTCCCTAGAGAGATCCCTCTCCACACATGTGTGCAAGTTTCTGTCCCTCCCTTCTTCCTCCCTTCTTTCTCTCTCTCCCCTT